TTTAGGACATTTCGGCGACACTTTGGTAGATTGAGCATATTTGGATCTAGGAATGTCCAAATGAGGTGATTCAAGTGGCATTGGATCGGTGATTCAAGTGACATTGGATCGGCATTTTAAAGAGCTACAACTTTCATGAAGACCACAAAGGCTAATTCGGAAATCTAGCTAGGCAGTCAAAATAAGAGATAAACGCGTCAGGATTCCCAGTCACGCCGGCATCACGGCGTGACGACGGAGTAAATGGGAAATAAAAGGCTTTTAGCGAGATTTTTATGCGAAAATTTCTAGATCTGAATCATAATTCACTTGAGCATATTTTCATCTTTCTCTCACTAGGTTTTAAGTTAAATTAGGTTAGAATTCTCTCTATCTTCTCTCTAGAAATTAGCTCTCAAGACTCTTGAATTTGTAAGAAGAAGGAGATCCAAGCATATCTTGTAGGATCTACATCTTCAACTTGGATTGCTTGGTAATCTAGACACTACAATTTGGGTAATCTCTTTAGATCTAATCTTTTGTTGCTTAAATTGATGATGATGCCTATTTTGTATTTGTGGGGATTATTGAGCATGAATATGAGTAGCTAATTGTCTAGAGATTAGGATTGTGGTGTAGATTGTATTTGTGATGATTAGCTTGATTTGATGTGTGATATTGTGGTTGTGGTGATTGAATGTTGTTGGCTTGAATGTCTTGTTGGAAGAGGAATGCTTGTAATAACTCTTGTGTGTGAGTGCACCACATGCTTGTAGGTTTAAGAAGGATTATGTTGTCAAGAGATTGAGACATAATCATAGACTCCTTCCCCTTGCAATTCCCGCCCTAGATCCGAGAGGACAAGGTCCGGAATGAGATGTACACAATGTGTTGATGAAATGTCTCATAGGTGTAATGATGACACTCGGGTGCTTCCTTGCCCTATGATAGTCCATGTAGACCGAAATGGCCATGGCATTTGAAGTCATCTCTCTTGACTTGTGTCACAACACACAATCACCACCCAAACCTTTGGAGTAGCTAATCACACATTGCAATTAGCACACACAATCCTAATCCGCTTTTCTTTCTATTGATTATTTTCACTTGTGCCTTTCTTACTTTCCCTTGCAACTCCTACTTTTGTTAATGGAACCCCTTGACCAAGAACCTCAAGCCCAAACATCCTTACCATAACACTCTCTCAACACTTCCAACTTATCACTCCTTGAGTACGACACTCGGGGTGGTTATCACTCCCGTTTTACATCCTTTCATTCATCTTCACTACCCTTGCACACCTACACTTTTGACAACGCGATATAAAATGAGAACCGTAAGGAAAAAGCGTTTGTCAACTAGGTAAACAAATCTTGTGTGTTCTTTTAATTTCTGTTGCAATTATCATCACTATTTAAGATATCGCTTAAGCAGTCAGATAAAATGAACTAATAATTAAGCATAAGTAATTGCTCAAACAGTGATCTGAATTACTTGTTTATTTCAATCTGTTAAGTTCTCACAACGAGTACACTACCCCTCTTCACAAACACCCCATAATGTTAATGCATCTTGCTCAAGGGGAAGGAGTACCGGTTGAAATGAAGTCAGGATCCTCCTATAAGAATACGCCTCACACGAGTGACACTTAATTTGTCATCTCAATCTCATAGCTCTACTGACTACTGATCACATCAGGCAATCATTATTGTGCGGACCATATGTTTCACATAAGCTGTGTGGACCATATTTAGTATACTGTAAAATAATGTACATTCATTACAAAATAATGTACTTTTAATATATTAAAAATGTACATTATATTTAGGAGATGTACATTATTTGTGTACTGAGTGTACATTATACAATATAATATATACTCAGTATACAAATAATGTACATTTAGTATATTAAAAATGTAATTTTTATTATGATCCATACAATAATTTGCCCACATCGAAGGCATCTAGCTCCTTCGACATATAGTTCCTTTGGAACCCCATGTTCGCAAGGATATCAACGTTAATATATTACTAGTATTTATCCCGTGCGATGCACGGTATAAAATTTAAGTATTTTTATTTTTGATAATAAAATTCAAACATCAATCATTAAAATTAATTATGAAATGTTACTTTTTTTAAAATACTAAATTGGTTGTTATATTAAAACCTCACAACATACTATTAGCATATATTATAAAATATTATGTTATTAGATATCACATGATATTTTAAAATTTTACATTTAAATATATAAATAAATAAATATATATATATATATATATATATATATATATATATATATATTTATAACAAAATTTAAAAATTAGTAAATTAAACTATATACAATAAATAAATGATTCTTTATTTTTTTTCGTAAAAAAATATAAATGATGTTATAAAATTTCGAACATGAAATTTCAAAATTAGAAAAATATTAATGCTCATGTCCCATGATGCACATGCTACAAATTATAAGTGTTATTATTATGTTATGATAATAACAATTATTAGGTTAAAAAAAATTTTAGGTAAGACATGTTGATTTTATTTTATATATAAAATTTGTAAGATTAATTATTATAATGGATGTATAAATAAAAAGACAAATTATTTACTTCCTCTGTACCATTTTCTAGTCATGTTTACTATTCATTGCTAGTACCAAATCTTTAATTGTTTATCCAATAATTGTTAATAAGATATATTTTTTTTTGACAAAAGATATATTATTAGTTAAATGCAACTACAATACCATTTGACAATATTCTCATTGGCCATGTTTATTGGACTACTAATACCATAGGTGTTGCATCTAAAAATCAATGTATCAATGTATAAGTACAATTACATGAGTAAAAACTCTAAATATAAATACCCTTAATTTTATTAAATAAAATACAAAAATAATATAACGCAACATAATCTATCATTATATATATCCATTTAGGCCCAGTTAAAGACAACCCAAACCAATGACCCAACTACAATCAGCCCATCTGACTGAGGTATAAATATCAAACCCAAACTCATTCCTAACGTTTCATCTTCCTCAACCGTCGTCTCTCTCGATTCAAGCCGAGACTCTATCTGCGTGCCGTCTGGCTTCCACCCTCGGCATCACTCCTCTCAAGCGGTCACATCCAAACAACCTCTGGCACCGTCGCTTGTCCACAGTCCTTGCGTCTTCGCCGTCTGGCTACCACCCTCAGAATCACTCCTCCCAAGCGGTCACACCCAAGCGGAATCAGTCCTCTCGATTTTTCTTCTCCGACCTCCGACGCCAACTCCCTCGTTCCTCTCCCTGTCTCTCTCGTGACATAGTTTGATTTTCTGCCAGATTTATTTGTAAGCATGAAAGGTTGTGGCCCTGGTAAACATATTCTCCACTCACCTTTTATTTGTACATTGATTCCATACTTAGCAAGCTTGATTAGAATTAGGTATACCAGTAATGTGGACAAATGCTTACTGGTACTGTCTGGTAAGATAAAAATTAATAATATTTATATTGTATGAGACTATACCTTTGTTTGATGAGATCTGCTTCCTCTTTCCCACTAATTGTTGAGACAATGATTTTCCTCATATTACACATCTGAGAGCTTATAATATTTGAATTACAAAACAAACAAACATTAAAATTCTGTTACTAACAAATACCTAAAAGCACATCAAAAGTATCTTTTTGTCTAGAAATTATCCACACTCCACAGAAAACATCATATAATATGTCTATATATTTTGTAGGGTAAATGTTTCTTTCTTTTCTGGTTGTATACATTTTAGATTTTTTCTTGAAAACTAATTTAAAATATTATATAAATGCATACGGTTCATTATTAAGAATATAAACTATATTATTATGGAATAAGATTGAAATGATGGTAGACTAAGCACCTGAATTATATGATAAGGCCTTCCTCTTGCTTCTTATGATTGTGGATTCTTTTAGTGCAACACAGCTCTCTGAAGTGCAATCTTTGAAGGTGAAAGTGTATTCATCCTCTTCTTGAACGATTACCCAACATGCCCAATACAGCTTCACCATGTTGCCTCGCAAAGCTTCTTTGAAAGCTCAACAAACGCCAGATAGGTACTGCTGCCGTGCACATCTTAGTTCACCACACCATTTCAGCCTTATTTTCTTAATCGTGAAGATGTATTTATAGTGTTGTAGGTTTATAGAATATAGAATCATATGTATATGCAAATTAATTTTAAAATTAATGTTTAGTCTTGAAGATTGCGATAGTTGTCTTCCATTTAAATTTATTTTGCATTCTCAATGTTATTGAATGTCTTAAATGTGATATTAAAGAACAATTCTGATATGCAAGCAACTTTTCATATGTCAAAGACATTTAAAATTCAATGTGATTAATAATTCGAATTTCCCAAGACATTTAAAACTCATTGTGATTAATAATTCAGCTGTCCACAATAAATCTAGCAATTAAGGTTATACCATGAAACGATGCCATTTCATTTAGGCGGGAAAATGACATGGCAAATTTTGCTATTATATAGAGTAAGATTTGCAATAAACATAGCAAAATCGTGAGGTCTCACTCGTTGTGAAATCTGTTCTTACACTCCTGCTATTAATCTGAAAGAGCCATTTTGAATTGATTAATGCCTTAATGGCAATACATAATACTCCCTATGTCCCATTTTATTTATCATACTTACTATTTATTGGTTAAACTAACTTGTTTGATTATTATTTTTTACTTATTTTTAAATTTGATTTTTTGTGTTTAATAGTACTTTTAATGTAGTTTTTAAAAATATAAATTTTATATATTAATACTAAACTTTTTTTTGTTGAATGCTAATAACTCTATTACAATGTAGTATCTGTTCATAGCTACTTTGCTTAAAATCACAACCTCCCATATGAGAGTCTAACCGGAGTGTCATCTGAGCACAAGGTAAACTTAATATTATGAAAATTTAAATTAAAAATAACTCTAATTAAGTCTCGTTAATTGAACTAGACACATAAAAAGAGTCGGAGGGAGTATTAATTTTGATGAAACTTTTGGTAAAATTGTTTTTCCACCTGACAAAATCATTTGTGGATTCAATAGCTTAGGTAAACAAATTAAGATTATATTCCATACTATTCTCACTTTCTCATACATATTTAAACAGAAGAACATGGGAAAAAGAATCGATCAGGACCGTTCATCTCAATCTGCTGCATCGATCTCCTACGCCTGTTGAGTCGTTGCCATCATGTTCTTGCAAGTCTTCAGCAGCTGGGTCCCTTTTCTCCTACCTCTAGTGCTACAATTACCTTGCAAAGCCAGCATGACTGCACGCGCCACCTCCTCCGGCGGAGCAATTGCGGCGCCGTGGTCGGACCCACTACCGTATATCACTGCCAACACACTTATCGCATATTCTTTACCCCTACCTTCCATCCTCCCCATCACCTCCACCATCATCAGCACCGCCAGCGCGTGTGATCTCACCTCAGCAGCCCCCTCCTCCACCGTGCACAGCAGTTCCAAAGCCGCCAGCGCTCTCTCCGCCACGGGACCCTCCAAGTCCGACAGCGCCTCCACCACCATCCCCACCGCCCCCACCTCAACCGCCACGCGTCGGTTCCTCTCCGCCAAGCAAAGCGCCAGAAGCACCTTGCTGGCCGGCTTGGCAGTCACTCTATCCTTCAAGCACCCTACCACCTCTCTCATCACCGTGGCAGGGCACTCCGCCGACGCTGACGCCGGGTTCGGAACAAGTGACCGTTCCAACATATGGATCGTCTTGACACGATCCGTATCCGAAGCCGTACTGAACTGGAGCTCCGCCACGTGGAACAGCTCCTCCAAGTTCGCCGTCAGCAGCGGAGGCGGAGGAGCGCCGCCGTCTGATTCTGGTTTGGGGTGGGTTTCGAAATGGGATTGAATATGCGGAAGGGGCGAGGTCGGGAGTGGGAACCTCCACTGGGTGAAACTCTGGGAAGTGTTAGAAGAAGAGGACGATGACTCGGACTCGGAACGAGCAGCCGGCGGCGGCGGCGGCTTATTAGAATGGTGTAATGGTGGCAAGGGATCGGAACTTGAAGAAGGGAGAGGTGGGGGAGTGGTGGTAGTGGGGCTGAGCACAGTTTGAGTGCAATGGCGGAAGAAAGCGCAAGAAAAGAGTGGTCTTGGGGTGGTTTTAAGCTTTGTTGGGTGATGGCTACTACTCTGCTTCATGGCTACAGCTTACAGAAAAGACTGAGAGGCGCGCGTGCATGAATTGTGAGTTCAGATGTATGAGTATGTTAGGGCTAAGGATGATATGATGTGTTTATAATCACATAAAACTGTAAATTTATAGTGGTAGGGAAAGTGGATAGTCCTAGCCCCCTATCATTTCCAAAAGGAGCCCCTGCTCTCAGACTCAATCTCTGATCATTCTTTTTAACTTTTACCTCTATGACTAGGTGAGCTACCTATGCGGACACCATGGATAGATCATGATTTACCTCGTGAATAATCACTTACATACGGTACATTTTTAACTACTAAATTACTCGTGTCGTGTACTGATTAATTTTTTATATTATACTAGTTTTTTTAATTGAGATAATGCCCAATGTTTTTCTTAAATAAGTATTTTAAAGTATATCAAGACAAGATTATATTATAATTGGTCATGCATAGATAATTGAATGTTGAATTTGCGTATTTAAATTGATCATTCTAAGTTTAATTTACAAATGCAAGATAGATAATATAGTCAATATTGATTATAATTGTCAATAAAATAATTGTATGGGTATGGTTGAAACCAAATACGGGACATAAGGGAGAGAAAATAAAAATTAAAGCATAAAATATTAAATATATAATAATATTGTTTTAGGTGTTTTGCTCAGTGTTCATTTAGTTCAACCATTATTGTTGAATAAATTATTATTGATAAAGAAATTCCTAATTTAAGAAATTTAAATGTATTAAAAATTTAAATTTTTTAATTATAATGTAACCCAAAGATATTGGACGATTGGTAAATATGATGTAACCCAAAGTCAAAATGATAAAGAAAGTGTTTTGATTATTCAACAGTTTGAAGCACCAATTTGTTCCAAACCACTGAAAATACAAACATTGCAATTTACAATATTTTTACTTAATGTTTTTTTAGAATGATTTCCCCAAAACACATCTATATTTTTTTAAAAAAATTATTATTAAAACAATTATTATTATTATTATTATTATTATTATTATTATTATTATTATTATTATTATTATTATTATTATTATTATTATTATTATTATTATTATTATTATTATTATTATTATTATTATTATACCCTTAGGTCATTTTAAATGTTAACTTAAACAACTAATTTTTCAAATATATTTTTACCAACTGTTGATATAATTCGCTGGTCAAATCCGCTAATATAATCTGCTAACGCTAACCGCTAACTGCTGATTGTCAAACAAGGATATTGCGAGGTATTTTCCCACTTTAATTTGTTGTGTGATTGAATACTCTCTTTGTCAACAAATCCCTCAAATAGTTAATATAATTGGCTTTATTAATTTAATTTTTTAAATTTTTCCATGGTATTAATAAAATACTTGGTAAATAAATATATAACATTATTTTGTATTATAACTTTGATATTTAATTAAAAAATAGTGCACAAAAAAGATAATAAACAATGTAGTGAATATAATCAATTGGTGAATTTGAATGTAAAGAATTTTTACATTGTTGAAAAATAAAGACAATATAACTAATGAAATTATTTATCTTAATTAATTTATTGATAATGAATAATTTTTTTTAATAAAGACATTGCAGGACAATGTAGAGAATATAATCAATTGATGAATTTGAATTTTGAATGTAAATAATTTTTATATTGGAGAAAAATAAAGACAATATAACTAATGAAATTATTTCTCTTATTTAATTTATTGATAATGAGTAATTTCTTTTTGAATAAAGGCATTGTAGACACATAATTCTAAATTAAAGAAATTCATATTTATTATTTTTTATTGTAGCTACTAAATTATTATTTATTATTTAATATGAGTAAAATAGAGTACTAATTATGCCAACTTTAATTTGATTGGGATGTGGTTCGAACCTAAGACCTTTCTTATTAAAATCAATGAGTAAGTTAACGGTGAACTAACAGAAACTAACGGAAAAGATAATATTCAACGGAAAAGTTAACCGATAATCATATTCATAGGGATAAATTAGGAAATCTCAAGGAAAATTTAAAATCTGATCAATCTGAGCCATTCATTTGATTAAAAAATTTGACCGCTCTTTTTTCTACCCATTATAGGCCTAACTCTCTTGGGCTCTTATTAGTATAGTAGATATTTAAATAATAAAATTAAAACTTAAGTTATAAATAATTATAATATTTGAAAGTGTACATTTATTTGATTATAAGATAAAGACAAAAGTATCAATAATATATGACTGGTTTGATTGCATTTATTTTAGAAAAATTGATATGCAATATGATTTATGTAATTATATTATTACTAAAATAAATATGGGGAAAAAGGAGAAATAATAATTTTTAAAAAGCATTAATATGAATTTTCGATTATAAAGATAATTTTATTACCATTTAAATACTTCTGTAATTACTTTTAATTCCTTAATTTCTTATTTTCCATTATTAGCTTAATCACAATTATTTCCTTATTTTACTTAATTCCTTAATTCCATTATTAGCTTAATTATAATTAATTCCTTAATTAGTATTGATGGGGATATAGGTTATGTGATGGAGTTCATTGGACTTAAGTTATTGGACGAAGCTATGAGGGTACAAGTTAAGTAGAAAAAGGAAGGTCAAGAAGTGGAAGATGAGCCGACCCAAAGAAGTACCGCCGCCGGCCTGGGGTGGTCGGCGCTGACGTCGAGTTGGGTCGTCGGTCGGGGCGCTGGCCCTGGCCGACAGTGGCGTGGCCAGCGCGGCCTGGTGCGACGGTCGCGCCCCCCTTTCCTGGGGCGCGCATCCCCGCGCCCCCTCTCTGGCTGGTGCGGCGTGGGGGGATGTGGGGGTGGTGTTGTGTATTGATGAGACGTGGGACACGTGGAGCTTGGATGTGGAGTGGGATCGTAAGAGGTACACTTGAATGGTGCAAGATGAGGGTAGTTTACTATAAATAGGGTGCCTTGCTTCCTATCAGCAATATGTTTGAACACTACAAGCACCCTGATCTAGTGGTCTTAGGTTCATACTTCCAACCCATTTGCTTGAGTTTGATTTCTATCCTTAGCATAGTTAATTATAGCACATCTTTTGGGCCTTAGTCTTGGTATTTTGGGCCTCCCTTTCTAGGCTGGTACCTCGGTTATTGTACATATTATTTTCGGTCTTAGCGTCCCCGAGTAAGAAAATTATTACTTTCCTATTTTGTACCTATATACCCGGTTTATGGTGGACCCGGTTCTACCAAAACCATCAAGTATAATAATAAAAGGAAGGAAATAACTACCTAATAATATTATTATAGTACACTAAGTTTTAAAATCTATTTAATAGTGAGTAACAAATTACGAGTAATTAAAAAAAATGTGTATTACTTCTCTCTCGCTACTTTCGCGAGCTTCTTTCGTTCTTCGTTTCTGATTAGGGTTTTTGGATGACGGCTACTCTAACTAACTGTCGGGCACCAACGACCAGTTCCCTTTGAACGATGGTAATGGCTACAAACGACGTTGCGGCATTGTGTGCCAATCTCACATTAGCAGATGTGGATGATGAGAAAATGCAATGCATGTACCAAATGGTGTTTTTGCTGGAAATTTTTGTGGACAAGCAGCGGATGGAATCGATTAGAGTGCGGCTGGGGTACAATAATATGTTTGTTGTAGATGTAGTTGGTCATAGGGGGGGGGGGGGACTTGCTCTCTTGTGGCATGATGCTGTAGAACTGGAAGTAACATGGTACTCTGCACATCACGTTGACACGGTGGTTGTGCTAGATACGGGCAGCCCCAAATGGCGTTTTACCGGTTATTATGGATACCCGGAACAAACGCGTAGAGGTGAATCATGGGACATGTTGAGGAACCTATCGGGGCTCAGCACATTGCCGTGGGTGATTATGGGGGACTTCAATGACATTCTACATCAATTAGAGAAGGGGGGCGAAATCCTCATCCGAATTGGCTTATTGAGGGTTTTAATGAGGCAGTTGCAGATTGTGGACTCCTGGATTTCGCATTCAGCGAAAATCAATTTACCTGGGTACGGTCCCGTGGCACTCCGGACATGATAGAGGAGAAGTTAGATAGGATCCTGGGCACAGACTCGTGGCTAAATCTCTTTAACGGGGCGACCGCATGTTCGCTCACTAGCCCATACAGTGGTCACTTACTGTTACTACTAACACCGGTGGTGGTTGCAAATGGGGTGCGGCGTCGAAGATTCTATTTTGACAACATGTGGCTACGGGAGGACCACTATAGGGAAATTGTGGACAACAGTTAGAGTCGGACTATGGGGCTGGAGGTGTTTGATCGAGTGGCAGTGTGTGGGGAGGACATATGGAGATGGGGGAAAGCTTACAACAAGGAGTTTCAACGCAATATTGATCGCTGTAAGAGGCATCTGGAGAGCCTGCGTGTGCGTCGTGATGAGGCTGGTTGTGGGGAGTACACCTGTACTGAAAAGCAGTTGTTAGGCTTGCTAGAACAACAACATTTCTATTGGAAACAACGTGCAAACGAGCATTGGTACCGGGGTGGTGATCTTAATACAATTTTTGTTCACAATTCAGTCAAAACCAGGCAGCTCAGGAATCGAATCCAGTTTTTAAAGAAGGAAGACGACACTGTGGTGGATACTATCGATGGTATGGTTGAGGTGATGGTAGATTATTTTGCTAATCTATTTACATCCTCTCAAGGAGATATGGGAGAGGTTATTGATTGTATTACTGCTAGGTTAAACCCCAGGGACAATAATAAGCTTCTCAAAACGGTTAGTGCAGAGGAGGTGAGGCGAGCAGTCTTTCAGATGCATCCCGATAAATCCCCGGGGCTGGATGGGTTAGGCCCGGGTTTTTATCAACATTACTGGGACATAGTGGGAGGAGATGTAACATTGTTTTGCAGGAGCTTCATCCAAACCGCCAAGTTGCCTACGAAGGCAAATGATACACACATTGTGTTGATACCAAAGAAACCAAGTCCCGACTCAATGAAGGATCTACCACCGATCGCGCTTTGTAACGTGCTTTATAAAATAGCGGCAAAAGTATGTGCCAACCGTATGAAGCCGGTGCTGGAGGGGCTTATCAATAGAGCGCAGAGCGCGTT